CACTACGTACACAATTAATGAATACAGACAGAGACTTGTAAAATTTCGTCGCATGAAACAAAATTTCACCGCAACGATCTCGAAACGTTTCGTCTACTTATTTCGTACTCGATCGTTTTGCATAAACGGATGTGTCGTGTAGTTTTGCGTCTAAAATTATCGCTAATAGGCGCTTTTTTCATCATTTTCTTTTTTTCTCAGCGTACAAGAGGTTTCGGCCCTTGAAATACAATTGTAACAATATGATTAGATCTTTACCACTAACATAATATTAAAAAATCGGATTACTTTAAAAATTCGAGATTACTTGATTTTTTTTAACTGTTCCTCGGACAGTACGTATCGCGTTTCTTTCTTCCTTCATCTTCCCTCGTTAACTTTCGTTTGTAATTCCGTTTCTCACCGATACACACCAACGTACGTCGCACGAACTCGTTTTTCAACCTTTTTCTTTCGTTTTATTCAGATTTTTACTTTGTTCATCTTACTATTATGCACTTCCCGCATAGGGCAACTCAGGGCCGTCACTATTCACAACGCGAACAGTAGAATCGAAGAATTGTACATGTGTATCACGACGTAAACTTACACAACGACGAAAGAAGAGGATTCTTAGGATTGTACACCACGTTTACCGCTTCCATTTTGATTATTCCAGTCGTGAATTTTACGTATCACATTTTTCAGACGTCCGTTCCCCAAGCGTATGCCACCGTGAATCATCGTTCTGCCTGGTCGTTCTCTTCGAAATTTGTACCGCCGCTTTCCAACGTCTCTGAATCGTTATTACTAAAATCATGGTCGTCGTCGACGTTGTTACATCCGATTGCTCGCCCAATCTCAGGCTCGACTCTATTCACCTACGATTCCCGACCATGTACGTTCAAATGCACAATATCCACTTCTTCATGCAGTCTGTCGCACGAGTCGTCGCACGAGTCGTCTCACGGGGCGAAGATCCTCTGGTAACGCGTCCATCGGTGTTGCTCCTGATTCTGTTTCTGTTTCGAGTAAACAATACAGTCGTTTCATTTAACATTAATGTCTGCTCGCGTTTATTAACGTAATACGATTATACACAATTTACATCCGCGGCACTGTGTTTCATCGTAAGTTTAAACGAATCGTCTCGACTCATCTCTTACCAATGCACCGTTGCATTGCACGAATTTCTTCGTCGTTCAAACCAGTACCCTCGGTAGAGCGTCACGATCGTTACGTGTCCTTGTTCCTTTCATTTACCAGATACACGCGCTTCTTGCTGACGCGTTACTCGCTCTTTCATACACGGATTCACTGCACTTTTCTTGTTTTTCGTATCAAGTTTTTTAAAGAAAAAAAAAAACAGTCTCGCGTTTGAACGTTCGTCGCGTGACGATTAACCGCGGTACTTCGTCCTACCTTCCCGTTTCGTCTCAATTACACTTTTTAACAAATGTAACGTTTTTTAATCAGTAGACTCGCTTACATAAGAAAAATTCATTGTCACTCGTTCTCATTGTTAATCGGCAGCTCTTTTCTTCTTTCTCGTTTCGTTGCGGAGTTCTTTATTGTACGAAATCGCTCCAACGAAGGGGAATTAAAAGAAGGCCACGAAAAAAAGGGAAGAAAACGATTCTCTGACGATTTTCCTGGCTCGCGATAAAATAATTATTATGTTACAAATTCGAATCCACGTTTTGGCAATTGTCAATACCTAATCGAACACGAACTCCCGTTCACATTAATACATATGTACGTCGAAATTGAGTACTGATTATTTAATAAAAAATATACTATCTCTCGTTTTATGTATATATATATATATGTGTGTGTGTGTGTATATATATATATATATATATATGTATATATAAAATAATGACGATGAAGATGATGACGAACGAAACGAGGGTAACGCGAGTCCCTCGCGAACTCGCGAACTTACCATTACAATATAATGGAAATAGTATAATTCGAATTACCGATGAAATACGAGGTGACAATGGCAATGACAATGACGACGACGACGACGATGAGAATAATTATAATAATAATTAATAATAATTAATAATAGCGACGACAATGAAATTATTGTTAATTGGAATATGTCAACAATAACGGTATCTTTACAAAATTAACAATCACAATGACGAGAAAACGAGTGTGCGCGATAATAAAGAACTCGGCAACAAATTACTCCGTGATTTTTGCATCGTATTGGACTTACAGGTTCGAAGTCGACTCGATCATTTTCTCTCTCTCGATCTTTCGTGTCTCTTTTAATTTTAATTTAAGTTAGTTCCTAGTTGACCATAAGAGTGTGCGATTCCATCGGCGCTGCACTGTCGTACAACGTGTCCGTATCTTGCGTCGGCTCGCCCTGAAGTTGACACTGATTACTCAACGTTCCAGCACCGCAGTCGCAGAAGAACCTGAAACACGGTAACCGCATAAGTTACATTTACAGGGTGGAATCGTCTCGCGTGTTTCTCGTTCCGTCAGCCACGCGTAACACCGTTCGCGATATTTACCGATCGTGTCTAATGAATTCTACATCGTGACCAGCATGACAGGTTTTTATGCAGTTCACGCAAATCGCGTTACGGTCCGTCGTATTGCATGTCTGGCAGCGGTAGAAATCGTGCATTGGGAAAGAGGTGTACGACGAAATTTTGTATAAACATTGGCCGTTCCCAACCGCTTTCTCCACTGCATCTTGGTTATTAAATATTTTATTGCCTGAAACAATCACAACGAGAGGAGGATCAATCGTGCGTCCCGGCTCGTAGCCGGCGTGTATCGTCGGTTTCAACGAGATGTCTAATGACCTCTAGTCGTAGGTTGTACTCCGCTCGCTAAGCAGAGACCGCCGAATCTATTATTGAAAATTTGATTGAACTCGAGCGTGGCGGTCGCGTTGTTCGTTATCTCGACGCCAGCTGCCAATCCGTCGAAGATCCGGTTTCTCCTCAAGACAGGATGAGATTGGGTAGAAATGAGCACTCCTGCTTGAGCGTTACGAAATATATCGTTCTCTTCCAGGACGCCTGCGGAACAGCAAAACGAAACGATCGTTCCTCGAATCAGAAGAATTGTCGCAGTCGAGACCAGTGCTCACCTTTGCCACCGTTAAATATACAAATTCCACCGTCCCGTCCGTCGAATATCTTGTTCCTCTTCAACGTGGGATTACTATCCGTCTTTATCCAAACTCCTGCCATCGCATTATCAAAAATTTCGTTCTGTTCGAGTAAACCTAATCCACTATTGTACACGAGAACGCCGCCGTTCTGTCCGCCCCATATCTTATTCCCACGTATTACCGGATTACTTCCGGTCCTAACGTCGTGACAAACGATGAACGCGTAAGATAGAAGATCAGAAAGAGAGAAGAGAGAGAGAGAGAGAGAGAGAGAGAGAGAGAGTGAGAGAGAGAAACAAATCGTGGTTACCTTATTTGTACGCCCGAATACAGATGATTGAAAATATCATTGTCTTCCAGTTTCCCGTGTCCATTGTCATAAAAATAAACTCCTACTTGCTTCCCGCTATGGATACGATTTCTTCTCAATACCGGTGTCGATCCTGTGGTTATCCAAACTCCTGCCAGAGTGTTCGCGTACACCTCGTTTTCCTCGATCAACCCTTGCCCCTTTTCGTGCACATATATACCACCGTGTTGGCCGTGATGTATCTTGTTGTGTCTGACGATAGGGTCCGAGTTCGTTCTGATCTGTATACCAGCCAGGGCGTTGCCGTAAATGTTGTTATGTTCGATCAAGCCTCGTCCCTCTCCGAATATGTACACCCCCCCTTGATGTCCATTATAAATTTCGTTTCTACGTATAGTCGGGTTCGAGTTGGAGGTGATCCAAACGCCAGCGAAATTATTCGAATGGATCTTATTGTCGATGAACTGACCCAAACCATTCTCGTGGACGTAAATCCCGCCCGTTTGCCCATGGTGTATCTCGCAGTGCACGACCGACGGATTAGCACCGGCTTTTACCTCGAAGCCTGCTATACGATTGTTATGAATGTCATTCGCCTCGAAATATCCGAGCCCGTTGTCGAACGTGAAGATCCCTACGTCCCTCCCATGATGAATGTGATTCCTTCGCATGATCGGGTTCGCGTAATTCTTCACCCATATTCCGGCTAACGCGTTTCTAGATATTTCGTTGTCCTCGTAGGTTCCCTGCGCATAATCGGTAACGTAAAGTCCAACGTTCTCGCAGTCCGATATGTCGCAGTTCTTCACCACAGGATTCGCACCGACTCCCGACACGCAAACAGCTGCTCCAACTATCACGAGTTTCGAGGATGAACGATCAATATAGCTAGGATCGACTTAACGATTAATGAAATTACTCTGTCTAGTGGCTTACCAACGCTCGAACTCCTGATGATACAATGATCGACCGTGGGACTGCAATTTTCGCCGACTTCCAAACAATAATGCTTATGATGCGGCACGGTGCTGGTAACGTCCGGGGTGAACTTTAACGTGAGATGGCCGGCGTAGGCCCGCTTCGCTCCTTCTACGAACATAACCGTAGATTCACTTTCTCGTTCCAATATAACAGACTCCGCTACGTTCCCGGGTGCCGCTCCGATCAATGCGACGTCGCTGTCGATCACGAGAAATTCGCCCCTGTAGATGCCAGCGTGTAAGAAGACTAAGTGTTGCGGCATCTCTTCCGTCGTTTGAGAATTATTCCCGCAACAATTCCCCTGACCGGACGAACTCGAGCTGTTGTTCGTCGACGAGGAACTGCCATTGCTCCTGTACTCGTCCACGTAGTCTAACGCTCCTTGAACCGTGTTGAAGTATGGCAAATTCCGACCCTTGAACTTCAAATCCTGAAATCCTGGCCTAACGTGCACGCCCCTATACAATTGTCTAAAACTTTCTTTCCACGGATTCGGGTAGTCCGACTCGTCTGGTGATACAAATTCAAATTTACAGGGCGCAGGATTGAACAGCGGCAAGTCGTATTCGTACACCTGCTGGTACAGGGACTTCCACAGTTCGGTGTCGTTCGCGATCGTCTGGAAACGTTTGCAAACCTGCGAGACTCTGCACAGATCCTGTTCCATCAGATAATTAAATATCGTGAGCAGCACTTCGTCCGGTAGCTCGTACTGGAGATAATGCGCCGCCGTGTTCGTGTTCGTACCTAGGGGAAGCGACAAAATAATTTCAAGCGTTCGAGACTAAACGTCTATGCCTACAAACGAATAATACCATCCGTGGACAAGGAGCACGTCCGCCTAGGTCGTTTTCTCGCTGGTAACGAAGATGAACCGAGCGTGGCTCCTATACTGCTACCACCGGAGGGAGGTAGAGCAGAACTGGTGCCAGGCGCGGGATCCGGATGAGGTGGACTTTTACGTCTTAAATCGTACGGGGACGAATGTGAATGCGACGGGGACGGCGACGGTGCAGCAACGCCGGATACGCTAGGTGATGATCCTCTTCCACCGCTTGCACCCCCGCCTCCACCTCCTCCGCCGCCGACTCCACCACCAGGAGGTATCTGATTCGATGCTGAACATGGCAAGTCGCATGGCTCGGCTGAAAAACATGAGCGATCTTGTGTAGCCGTTCGTCGGGCTCGACTCATCGTCAATTGGTACGCGTTGAGTAGTTATACGTCAGTGTTTAAATGTTACAGTAAACCGTAGAACGATGCAGAAGATGAGCGTCATCGGACCGAGAAGGTACGAAAGGTACAGAAGGTTCGTCGAAGAGATACTGTTTCAGAATTCAGAACGTACATTTGACGCGCGTACACAGCCAATTATGAGAGCAGATGCACGGGCAAAAGTATAATTTACAGTGTTTTCGCGACAATAGGAAATGCACCATAAACGATACAGTGTTCGCGCACAGAAAGCGTTCTGAAAAAGTAGAACATCGGGCTGATTTGACAGAAACTTGATGGCCAAATGCGGTGTCACGTCGAAAAGGAGGAGGGTCGACCTTTTGCCTCGAAATTACGCGAGCGTCAGTCGTAAATAAATTTCGTACAGTCGAACGTCTAATAAATCGGAATTACAAAAAAGGGGGGTGGGGTGAAGCGTAGACTTTGAGCCGACGTTCCAAAATAAAAATTGACGATCGCGACTCGTGCGGAACATCGTGATCGACGTATTCGAAGAGAGGCCGGGACAAGACCGACGTTGTGCGTACGTCGATCTCGGTAAACGTCACCGAGGAGATCTGCGTTTTTCGGCCATCCCGAGCGTAAGCGCGATCGTGTGCGAGAAGACGTGGGCAGTAAAGACCGTAGTAGCAGTTCGTCCCGATCGTGGAGAACGAGGACGTACGATCAACGAAAGGGACGTGGATCGAACGGATGTCGTGCCGCGGATCGGTACGACGATCGACACATCCGGGAACGTCGAAGTGGGTGAAGGCAAAGAAGAGAGTAGAGACAGGTGAGCAGCGAACCGAGGTCCGGATGCAGGGCTCTTACCCGAGGTGGTTCTCGAAGGCAGGGGGATCCTGTTCGCACCTTTTCTTCGGGATCTCCGCACGTAATTGCGCGACGATGTGAACGACGCACTTGGCATTTTTCTCGTGTTCCCCGACAAAATTATGCGAGAAACGGTGAAACAACTAAACACTAAACAATGGCGACACTTCCACCGAGCCCAGCGGCCATCTTCTCATTGACGATAGGACTGCCGACTGCCGACACTGGTGCCAGACCGCCAATCGGATGAATTTCTGCTGTTCCCCCTCCCGCCCCTCGCCGGCCGCGCTCCTTCCTTCCTACGCGATCTTTCTCTCTCGCGTTCTATCCCTCACCTTACCGATTCCCTCTTCTGCGATGGATCGCGACACGAGCAACCAACATCAGTATGGAGTTATGGAGACCGTCGACCGAAATACTGATTTCTCCTGCACAACCACCGCGATCCTATCATGTTTCGTTCTGTCGGTGATGTACGTCGCGAGTCTCTATGTATGGGGGTTACCGTACAATAGGTACGTATATGCCGATTAACAGTAACGATAAACGTCAGCTCTTTGAATGTTCATTTTGTATGCGACTATGTAGATCTAGCCTGTCACTCCTCTCGGTCGTTTAACAGTGAACAACCACAGGATACCACGAATAAAGTGTAACTGTATTCACGTCGACCGAGAACGTGAACGTCTACTCTTTGATTCTCTCCCATTCACGCAGTCGCTTTTCTGGACAAGAATCGAATACCCAGCGCCCCTATTGGCCAATTCTTTCACTTCGATTTCTTTCGTAATTTTCGCGCTGCTCCAAACCGATCGAAAACCGAATTCATTCCGACGATCGTTTCGTACTCTGGCAAACCTGTTCAACGGCTTCTGCTCTCGCTCCATTCTAAGTATTCTTTTGGAAATCGTTTTTCCGGTAAAACGTTTCGCAGAACCGAAGGACCCACCGTCGATCAAACCACTAATCAAGTCTGTTTCTTTTCCAGTAATCATCCAACCGTAATTAAACAAAGATTTTTTAGCGTTTTTATCATGTCACTTATATCTCCCGCGTTCGTCTACTTTAGAATCAATGACAAAACATTTCAGAAGGTAAGTCTACTGTTATGTGTTCGTCAGTCTTGTTATAACTTTTTATTCTACTTCCAGGCGACAATGTGGGAGTTACTGGGTCTCAGGTGGCCCGGCTTGTTTCAAGCAATCGTGATACCATTGTTATTGACAATGATACTATTCCTAGGGCCAATATGTATGCAAGGTTTCAATGGATTTTTTAGATTGTACGCTGGTCAGTGCTCGAAACCGATTGATGTTCGCCATACTGCCATGTAAGATCAATCGTCCAAGTACACGTTCCATCCCTTTCTTTTCAGTACCCATGTACTGGCTCGGGAACATGAGGACGATAATATGGTGGAGAAACGTGGTGGTCGCTCCTTTGGCCGAGGAGTGGACGTTCAGAGCATGTATGTTACCATTGCTACTGCAATGTTTCACGCCGACCACTGCTATATTTACGTGCCCTTTATTTTTTGGGTTCGCCCATTTTCATCACCTGGTAGACAGAATGAGAACAGGCATGAATCTGAAACACGCGATACTCCTGTCTTGTGAGTATCTCGTCATCTTATTTTTATTCATACTCCGTACAAACCCTATCTTCGAATTGTGTTCTGAATTTAGGTTTTCAGTGTGCATTTACAACGTTGTTCGGGGCATACGCTGTGTTCCTCTTTATTAAGACAGGTACAGACAGGTCATCATTCATCTCGCGACGAGTGTCGACGACTCGTGTATCATTAAACGATAAACTCGTTTCCAGGGCACTTCGCAGCGGTGTTCGTGGTACACTCTTTCTGTAACTGCATGGGATGCCCCGATTTATCCGAGGTCGTCGCCGTTAAGGATCGTTTGAAAAGAGTCGGGCTACTTTCTTTGTTCATAATCGGATTAGTGGCTTGGTGCTTTTTATTAACACCGATGACGAATCCGAGACTGTTTCAATAATCAAAATAATTTATTCTGGCATGAGAGTTTTACGCAAACGTAACTTGTTTACAACGACGTTACTCACGTTACATGCAATTTTTATGAGAAGAGAGTCTAGCCCGATCTAACATTGCTTCGAGAATTCGTATCGCACAATATTTTTTAGAACGTGTTTATTACCGAACGGGGCGTTCCGGTTTCGAATCCCACATTTTTAGGAACCTACTTCGAAAGAGTCATTAAACATGTTCCATCGGGTGTGGGCACACGCATTTATGGCTACAATATCTCGAGTCCCCCGGCTGATCGATCGATTTGAAATTTACAGAGCGTCTTCGACACACGTTTCATTACCAGACGAACCAAAATCGTTAACGTCCGTCCATAAATGTACGTACGAGAACCTAAAGGAAAATGCTCAATAGCTCGTTTGAAAATGATTCCTAAGAATTGTTGTGAAAATATGGAATTAAAAAAATCGTCGTAGCCGCCTCTTGAAATTTCGAGGTCGACGAGACTGTTTCGCAAGATACGCGACGTATACATTATACGTGTAAGTACAACTTCGTCGAGAGATGAACGTATCTCGTGACTATTTCCTTGTGCCCGTACAATGCAAGATTTTTGAGTTTTAATTTGTGAATCGTCGTGTGTCGGGTAACGTTCGTGCAAACAAGTTACCACGGACAAGCCAGTCACACGACATAGGACTGTACGATACGAAATCACCGTAGTGCCTCTGTGATGTAATTAAGTTTACGCAGATATATGTAATCGTGAACATTAATATAAATTTAATCTAATCTAATGATAAATCTCTCCTTGAAACGAAGTCGTTTGGCCAGTGAAGTTGTATGGTCGAAAGGAACAGGCGTGACATCGTATATAATAAATATCGTGTTATCTCGTATGGATAGAAATCAATGGTAGGAGAACGTGTTCTGCAAACACTCCTCCGATACGACGTGCATACAAGCGTAAAAAATATTTTATTCTGAGATCACTCGATCATTTCTCGTTTACATATGCGTAACGATACCTAACGACACTTACACTTACTATTTATTTAAACAACAGAAATAACAAATAACAGTATTACAGTGTTTGCCATAAATGTATATAAACGTTCAACTACTTACGATTAGTAGAGTATAAGAGAGCGCAGAGGCGTACGTACGAGTTTAAAATCTGACGCGACGCTTCTATGCAAACGAAGGAAATCATTTCAAAACTGGTACTACATTGTATCCTGTGTATCTATCGTGAAACGAGTGTCGATCCTATGCAATTAATGCGTAAATTTGAATCGCACTTTGTTGTTGACAAAACAAGTTTCTCTCTGAGTATAAAAATTTGAACTGCTAAATAAAATATTTATACAAGTATTATACATTATTTTTTAGAACGTTAATTTATTCGACGAAGTTCAATATATATATATATATATATATATATACACACATGTGTATGTACTAAAAGAACGAAGTCTGTAACGTGAATTAATTCAGTCATTTTGTAACGCAGTAATTTGGAATGTACACAGTCACGAGACTCTTCGATTATTATTACTACTACTTCGAATAGAATGCAGTTTGCACGAGGTTACGTCGTTCACGTTAAGGACGATATAAAATCTAAAGCGATTTCGAGTGATGGAAACGAAGTGTGTGGAATAACGCTACTTGTTTCTAACACACTCGTTCGTAAGTACCTTACTGTCACGGTGCTTACAGGTTTCCCATTTATTATTTCGATCATTTTCACGTTGCATCACTCACGAGCAACACTGTTTTTCTCTTTTAAAGAGTAATTCAAGCTATAAGTAGTAACAAAATCATTACATCAGGAACTGTTAGGTCGTTTTCTTTTTGTCAGCGAACAAATATTTGAGAGTGTAAACGATCGTATAAAAACGGGACTTGGAAATTTTTACGGAATGCACCTCGTTCGTACCTTTACGTTTGGCTAGGTCCAGGTGCTGCGTCAGGATTTTGAGACTGATTGAGAAACAGCACGTTACTGGTCTTTATACTGGGACCTGCTGAGATCAGCGACGGGCACGGACTGATGCACGGCGTCGAGGAGTGGCTGTTACTTAAATCGCATTGGTCCAACAGTTTCCAAAGTTCTTCTGGAGTGGGTCCGCCAGGCAAATCTGTAATCGACGTACCCGGAATAACGATCGACGTTAACGTATCAATCGGATAAGAGTGGAACGATATTACTTTGTGTAGAAGACGGAGGAGGTTCTAAAGCCGTCGTCAGATCCCACATTTGTATGGTACCGTTAGAATGTCCGGTGAATATGAAACGCCTGGGCCTTGAACCCATACCCTCGCATTCGTGAACGTAGAACGAGCTGATGATACTACCGTCTACCGATTTAATCACGCAGACTCTCCTCCCGTTCGACGCTAAACGTACGAACAGTTGATCGGTCTCAGGCACAACTTTTTGAACGAAAACTTGCTCGTCGTCCTGTTCTCCAAACGGGCCTGGTTTTTAAAGAGGAGCGATCCAAATTATCTCCCGTACCACCGTTGGAACGGTGTATCCTCTACGTAAACGTACCAAAATCATTTCCAGCGTTGTAGCTGACGCAAGGTTCGATCGCCTCAAGAGATACGATTTTGAAACTAGCTTCGGGCGTCGATCCGGGTTGAGTGGAGATCATTCCACGGAATCTTGTCACCGCCCAACTTCTAACGTGATTGTATTCCGAGCAAACCGATACCAAGTATTTCTCTGATAACGTTACCTACAATGTAACATCGTACGAATCGTTTAATATTCATGATCTGACAACGACGGACGACCAACGTTTCACGTACTTTTGTCACGCTGCTCTGGTGCACGGTAAACGTTTGAAACAGCTGCGGGCCATGTCCCACGGTTTCAGGATGTTGCACTATGACCCGAACGCTGCCAGACTTTGTGCCGTACGCGATCTCGATCCAGTTACCACAGACGGCTATATAAAGAGAGATCATAAAGTTATCCTATACCTCACGCGTTTCGATACAAAACGAATCTTCCAATGTATTAGCTACATTATTCGACGTAAAGTGTGAATGGCATACGACATTGACATTTAGACGTATATCGAAGACTGTGGTAAGAGAAGAAGTCTTTTGTGTACGTGTATTTCTTGTTATTAATATGTTCCGTCGGTAAATGACCTATACAAACATTACATGCGTTTTAACGTTGCGACAGAGGACGACTATTCACAAAACGATGTTCAAAACGTGTTTGCACTATCGTAGCATACATTTTTCATATACTGTATATACATGTATATCTGATAAAAGTATTGTAAACGTGTTGTACGAAGTGCTAAATACGAAACTATTTACAACATTTTTAATGGACAAAATAAAGTTCATATGTGCACTTGGAGGTATATTCAACTATGCAAGCAGAGGTACGTGTCGTCCAGTCCCTTTCCTTCCCCTCCCAGATGTTTGTCATAAAATACGCCGCTACATCGTTCAACGAGTGATTATAAAACAAGAAACAAAAGAAAGTATTACAATCGGTACAACTGGATGCATAAGGGTAGCGGGGTTGCTGCGTATATTTAATGCGATCTGAAGCGAGAATAATTGTTACGAGCACTTTTCACGGTTCGGGTAGATCCTCGAGATATACCTCTCGTACGTACTTGGTATAAAACAAATAAAAGCTCCTTCAATACGTGTAAATTTAGGTATGACAAGTTTTAATTACGGAGTGTGTCGTCAAAAGTGATGTGTGCACACGGACTTGTCCACCGAATCGACGCAGAACGACATACTACACCTGGAGAGGAAGGGTGCGGTAATCGTCAGTATTAATAATAGTAATTCATAGTAATGCGTTATGTTCAATGCAAAATGCAGGAAAAACATGTCATTTCGAACGTGACTTTTGATCGTGAAAATATTGTAGAACATTGTAGTATCGACCCATACTTGCCTTGTGCTATTTATCCAGTTGTACGAAATCATGAGGCAAAGAATGTAATAATAAACTCTCATTAATACTATAATACAAAGATATTGTTCGACTTCACGATGGGAGAATTGAACGTTTAACTTTCGACACGCGTGACACTTATTATCTATCAAAAAAGAACTAATGATTTTCAGTAAAAGAAACGAAATTTATGATTGCAACTTTACTGTTAGCATGTCGACGAAACGAATATTGCATATTCGTCACCTAGAAAAGAATAAAATAAAGTAAAATAGAACAGAATAAAATAAAATAAGGTGACAACGAAACACAAATGACGCAAGAAAGCGACGTTTGTTATTACATTCCTCAATACAAGCGGATTTAATAATTAAACATTAATCCATCTATTTGCACGTCACTCGAAAAGATATTTCTACGGTACTGCAATATATATATATAGAGAGAGAGAGAGAGAGAGAGAGAGAGATACTTATAATAATTAATATTCGTCGTTAAAGACACAATGTTGGCCACGAATTAGTTACCTCAAACTTTTGTGTTTAATCGTATACAGTATAAAATGTTACGGTAAAAATAAATGCAAGAACTTACATGTTTTCGGTGTTAAATATACGGATATGGCTGTGATGGGATCGTAGTTCGGATCACGGTACAATTCGGTTACGAGCAAGTCGTTGTCCTTCATTCTTAAAGGAAACTTTTCCATGTCTGAAAAAGTTTTATCAATATCGTGATCGGTGTTGGACAGAACGAAACTACCGATTCGAACGAACGGTCGACGCGCATTACCTATATAATAAATCGATCCATTGTTGCATCCCAGTAGGAGGAACGAACCGGCTGTGTCAAACGATAAAATTGGCACCACGTCTTGAATCTGCCAATGATGCGTCATCGCATGCCAGACACCAATTTTGTCGGTAGGAGACAAAGCAACTAATTGGCTGCCAATAAAAAACAAATATTCCACACGAACGTTTAGGTTAAACGTTCCAATGTTAGTTTTCATTCCGTTTGCCGAAATACTCCATAATCGGACTTGATTCCCGTAAGAAATAGCTACCATTTTAACGTCTCCACTGGTGCTTAATTTCGACGCTATTGCCACTCTTTCGATCACCGATTCGATGTGAGGACTGGTGAACGCATGCTGCCAGCCGGACGAGTCTTTAAGCCGATAACACGTTATGAAATGCGCGTAAGCGATCACAATCCAATTGTGGTGTGCCTTTATGATCTGAACCCTTAACGGATCAACCCACGACGAAACTGTGCAGACAAACGTTCGTTGATCGTCCGTCGGAACTTGTAACGTTACATTCTACCCACTTACCTTGTTGAGGGCCAAATACTAAACTTATGTCGTTTTTGTACAACTTGTTCAAGTCCGCTGAATTGTTCCTAACGTGCCTTAAATCTAGAGACGACGTACGCGAGTGTGGTAAGCCTTTCTGTTGGATTCTATAATCCAACGAAGAGTTTCTCGCGTGGCTACTGAGTGTTCCTTTAGGATTTTGTTGTCCTGAAACCACAAACAGAGGTGTCCGTCGAGTATCTGCCAAAACTCATCGATGAATCATATCGTCCGTTCAGTACCATTATTATTTTGACTACTCGAACTCCCACAAGTTGTTGTACTCTGAGAAGTAGACGGTAAATCTACTCTAGAATTATTACTGTTGGATAAAACTCTACCGTGAACAGACACATCTCCTACGTTCGCAGCGACGGTAGTAGGTTCTTGCAACGGTATACCTTTTCAAATGTAATATTCACCAAGTGATCAACTCGCTTCATTCACTACTTATTATTCGCACACGAGAATAACTCACTTGGTGGTGGCAGATAGCCGTAGAACAATACATCACCGCACGAGGATTGAGTTAAATCTTCACACAGCATCAATCTTTTGACCAGTGGAGTGATGCCATAGTATTCTGCCTCGTGCCTCAGCGTGCGTAGATCCACAATTTTCAAATCGATGTCCTTCGTCCGTAGGTAGTTCAATATGACGGAGAACAACTTTGGATCCCTGTCTATGAACAGTGCACCGACCTCGTCTCTGTGGCTAGCGATCCTGTTGCTCAGCAATGCAGTGAAAAACGAGTCAGGCACCCACGTCAGCGTTTGCTTCGACGTTGAAAACCTGAGAGCAATCGATTCGATTATACGTAATTATACAGAGTAATTCGAATAATTGCCTCCGTACCTCGTTCCCCCAACGTTCAGATGAATAATGTCGCTGAGACCGAAAGACGGCGGTACAGCCATTGTTATACGTCGTTTAAACGCCAAGTTTTATTTTCAGTATGCATCTTTTCCCACAATCGTTCATAGAGCCAGACATTAAAAAAAGAATTAACGATTACGTTCTCTACACAGGTTACTGAACGACGACCGACGACCAACAACCCAACGACAACCTCTTTACCGCGCCAGCAGTCTTACTGTCTCTTTCTGTCTGTTCGGGACGCGGTTTCCGGGCGAGATTCCCTGCTCTGTCTGTCGTTATTCCGTCTCCGTCACCGATCCGGCCTTGCTCGCCTCTCGTACGCCCTACCCCCGCCCCCCCCAGCGCCCGACTGTCCATTTTCTGTGCGCTTTCGGAACGCTCGCGGTTCGCTCGGGACGGGACGTGTCGGTTTTCTGAACGCGACGCCCGTGTCGGTCATATGATCGTTGTCGCTGACCGAAGATACCGTCGTTCGTAGGCGTTGACTCCTCGACGAAAGTTTTTTCGGCTCCTGTGTCACTTGCTGCGCGTCGTCGAACCCACGACTTTCCTGCTGAACGACCGACGACCCGTCCCACCGCATCGAAATGGCGTTGAGCGACTCGGATGTGCAGAAACAGGTATTCCGTCGTCGTTACTCGTCGTCGTCGTCGTCGTCGTCGTTTGTTGTCCGACTTTTGCGTGCGGTTCTCTCCCGGGTCGACCCCGCGTCGATCGCGGAGTCTCTCCGGGTGTCGCGAACGGGAGTCGTCCGCTCTCGACGATTCCCGGTCCACCGCGATGGCTCTCGGCCTCCGTTCTCACGTTCGTCTCTCTGTTCTGTTCCGCTCCTCGCGTTAGATCAAGCATATGATGGCCTTCATCGAGCAGGAGGCCAACGAGAAGGCCGAGGAGATCGATGCTAAGGCGGAGGAAGAGTTCAACATCGAGAAAGGTCGTCTGGTTCAACAACAGAGGCTCAAGATCATGGAGTACTACGAGAAGAAGGAGAAACAAGTGGAGCTTCAAAAGAAGATGTACGTCTGTCGCCGCCTCCGTCGGCGTCTTCCTTCTCTCTCTCTCTCTCCCCCCCCCCTCCCTCTCGCCCTCTCCGTGTGGAACCGATCGTCGGTTGATTTCTACGTTCGTTGCTTTGCAGTCAGTCGTCCAACATGTTGAACCAGGCTCGTCTGAAGGTTCTCAAAGTCAGAGAGGATCACGTGCGCAACGTCCTCGACGAAGCTAGGAAGAGGTTGGGAGAAGTGACGCGCGACCCCGCCAGATACGGAGAGATTTTGAAGTTGCTCATCGTCCAAGGCTTGTATCAGGTACGTCCGAGTTCGATCGCGTTGCTCGAGGACCGCGACGTCGGCCACGGTCCACCGGTCCGCCCCGCTGCTCGTCCCTGCCGCCGCCGCCAGATCGTTCTTCGTTCTGCTTCCAGCTCACCGAGAGCCACGTCACCGTCCGCGTGCGTCAAGCGGACGTTCCTCTCGTCGAGTCCATCTTCGACGAGGTCCGAGATACTTACGCTCAACTCACGCGCAAAGACGTCACCTTGAAGGTCGACCAGGACAACTTCCTTCCTTCCGACGGCTGCGGCGGAGTAGATTTGATCGCGGGAAGAGGTATGTCGACGCGAGTCGTCGTTACCTGACGCTTTCGCCCTTTCCGCGTCGAACGTGTCGATTCCACGTCTTTTCTCCGTTCTAGGACGCATCAAAGTCAGCAACACTCTGGAGACCAGGTTGGAATTGATAGCGCAGCAACTGGTACCGGATATACGTTCTGCCCTCTTCGGACAGAATCCCAATCGCAGGTTCAACGATTGAAGCCCTTTCTCTCTCGCTGCCGCTGCCGCCGGCGCCGGCGCCGCTTCCTCTCCCTCGCGTTCTTTTCGTTCTTCGCTTCGCGTCCTCGTGTTCGCGAACGGACGTTCCTTTCTTTCGAGCGCGACGCGACCGCTCGGAATTTTCGCTGCGTAGAACGTAGACTCTGTCGTTGTTGTTGCGATCGTCGTTGTTCGCGCTCGCGAACAGAGGGAGAGAGAGAGAGAGAGCCAAGTTGTAAATTATCTACCCTATAAATCCATGTGCATACGTGTGTACGCGTGCATCTGTAAACGCGCGCGTGATACTCCCGTTCTTCGGACGTGTCTCTAACTAACAATAAAGTATTTTATGTGAACCCGATTCTACGCTTTTCTCCGACTGCGTCTGCGATCGGCGTCCGTTTTCTTCTGTTCGCCGTTCGGTTCCGTGTCCTGCTCTCTTTCCCCCACCTGCGTTCGACCACGGTACGTCGGTTCCCGTGATTCCGCTAAACGAGCTGTACGATTCTGACGATCGGATCGGACGGGACGAGGAACGGGAGAGGTCGCCTGGTTCGTCCGACGTTCGAGTGAACCGCTTTCTTTAGTCGTTTGTTTTTCTCTTTTATTTCGTATCGTACTCTACGTGTTCCGACGGTCGGCTACGCCTGTACGTGCTTTGACCCAACCCCCCACTGCCGAGGACGTACTGCGCCCTGCCTGCACGATGTCGGTCGACGTCCGTACCCGGCCGAGGTTGCGATGTCCCGTCTTCCCGTCTGATGAACGTCGAACGTTCCGGCTGTGTCTTCGGGAGAAAAGATTCGAACGTTACACCGGTCAACTTGTGATCGCCTCGTCGGATCGTGTCGTTCTCGGTTCTTACCTGTCGCTACTGCCTATTTTCCGCCCTTTTCCGACGACGATCGATCAGAGGATCGGTCGTCCGTCTCTCCGGTCTCGAGGCCCGTTTTACTGTCCTGCTGCTGTTTGGAACTTGGATTTCCGTTGGTACGTGATTTTGCTTCGTCCCTTGCGGCCGCCGCCGCCGGAGAGCCTGCCGTTGCGTCGTCGTCGCTTCGCTTCACTCTCTTCAACTGTCCTAGGATTTTTATGTAATTGTAAGGAACAAGACCGACGTTCGTGTTGTCGGTGGCTCTGCACCATCCTGGCGTCTGTTTCGGTTGCAACGACTTGGGTGCGAGGCAGATCTTTTGACCGGCCTTCACGCTGAGTTCGTCGTTGTTGACGGCCGCGAAGTCGTACAACACCGTCGCCACGTGCGTGGGTTCCTCGCTTTCGTACCACGTTTTTGGATCCGCGACGACGCTACCTGCTTCTGCTTCTGCTTCTGCGGCTCTTACGCTGCTCGCGATCTTGTGGATCATGTAAGGTATCGCGATGAACACGGTGAACGTCAACAGACCGGACCAGAAGGAAGAGTTCTTTGCGTTTCGGTCGTTACCCATCTTTGCCAAGGATTTCTCCCACAGTTCTTCGTCCGTCGAATCGAATCGCCGGCTGCCTTGGCTGCCCAGACCTGTGTGCGAGCGTGACAGGAGTGACGTTTTTGCTTTCGACGAAACGACGTCGAGATGTTAGTTTTCAATTACCGGCGGTACGTACGATCTTCCTGTACAACCATTTCACGAATCTGATCATCGCGAACGTACTGAATAATTGATTTATCGTGGAACGCAATTTTCCTACGCTCTCGGCGACGCTTAAGATCGCTCTGAACGAATTTGTCAGAGCCAAGTACGTCGATTCCAACAGCATCGTCATCGACGAGAATGTGTGTACGACCGTTTCGATCGATTGAAAGGTTGGTCTGACGTTCGCCTCGATGTAATGAAAGAACCTGTTTTGGTCAACAATAACCACGAGTATCGTCGTCGTTGTGTCATTGCTACGACGTTCTACGGAGCGATTCGGTATGATTCTTCTCGGTCGAGAACCTACCTGTTTTCCGCGTTGCCGCTGTGCGTGCTCAACGGTCCGTAATTGTTATTGTTACCGTTGTAACCGAGGTAAGGAGGACTGTACCAACTGCTGTATCCACCCGATCCTCCGAATCCTCTGTATTGACTGCCATGACCGAATCCACCGCCGTACCCGCCGTAATGATTAGGACCCGACCACGACGAGTTGTATCCCCAGTAGTTGTTTTGTAGTGCTGGCTGGCGTGGAGGCACCGGTGGAGGAGGATTCTGTCCTGATTGATACGCGATCGAAGGATACGGTGTCGTTGGCGGTCCGTTCGGTATGCTGGGGGAGGAGGATGAGGAGGTATTACCAGTTCGTCCACCGTCCTTTTCATCGTTCGCGAACGAATCGCTTTTCGTTAAAAATTTTAATTACTGATTTTGTCGTCGCGTTTCGACGTTCGACGAACGCGTACCTGGTCAGCTGATTGATGTTCGGTACGTTTCTCAAGTAATTTCCACTGCTGTTCCCGTTCGTCCTTTCGAGCGCCATTCTTTGTTGCGACGATGACTCGTCGTCGTCGTCGTCGTCGTCGTCGCTTATCGTTTCTTTTTCGCTGTGCAAAGTTCATGCCCCCTTTCTATACCGACGAAGCACGCGTTACCGAGTCTCCGTTGTCATCGTCGATGCTTGACTGCCGCACTGCCGCCGTGGCGAAACCAGCAGGAATGCACACACACGCGCGAACCTGTGCCCGTGTACGCGTGACTACGCGAATACGTACGTGTGTAACGTGCGTCGTACGCCGTACGTGTCACGAGTCGGGTAGTGAGTGTGTCGTGTGTCTACTGACGACAGTGACGACGCTGGCGCGCGCAAACGGCGACGAACGGGACCAACGCCGGTACGTGTGTACGTGACTGTGGTCGTGTGCACGTACGTGCGTACCATCGTGCGTGATCGTCGCCGCCGTGTGGACGTGGACTGTGGAGGAGTGGTAGACTTGTAGAACGCGAGGTTGACGATTTTCGTTGCGGCTCGAAACTATGTCCACCACGTTTCTAAACTTTGTCGAGGAGAATATACTGTATGAGATTCTGGCAGCGACATGGATTCTGTTCTTCTGGAAATTGTATTTGAGTCTGCGTCAGGTAAATCGTCGTACCGTCTCTCTGTGCCCGTTTAACCCGACTCCGCCACCGCCGCGTGTACTGTGTACCATTGTTCTCTTTTTGCGATCTTACGGTCGTCGTCACGAATCGTCCTTTGCTGAGTATTCTGGTGTATTGTTCCTGTCACTTGAACGTCGTTCGGTGGCGGTGGTGTGTTTGCTGTGGAACGAGACTGGAAACCTGTCGATTGATACGTGCGCTGCTGCGTGTTTATGAGTACTGCCGCGTATTTTTTCAGAGAGCTTTGGTACTACGTTTGGTGGAATTGCCGGAACAAGTCCGAGGTTTAATGACGAGAGAGGTCTACGAGAAGGCGCGCGACTATTCTCTGGATAAATTGAACTTCGGTATTTTCCAAGACACGTATTCCGAGATTTTCAATACAGTACGTATGGTCTTCGTCTCTGCTGGATCGCACGCGCGTACGAGTGCGGATGCGTGTCATTTTTTGACAGTGATGCGTTGTAGATCTTCTTGCTGACCATGTGCTATCGTCGATTTTGGGTGTCCAGCGTCCGTTTGGTCGGTTATCTTGGTTTCGACGAATCGAATGAGATTCTCCTCAGCGGCGTTTGCATGTTCGTTGTGTCTGTCGTTTACGACGTGGTCTATCTGCCGTTGACGATTTACTCCACGTTCGTCGTGGAACAGAAACATGGGTTCAATAAAGAGGTAAGCCAATGACTTACGGCCGTCGGCAAACGAATGAGTAGTTTCTCGCCTCTTGTCGTCGTCGTCGTCGTCGTCATCGTCGTCGTCGTCGTCGTCGTCGTTCTTGTTACTGCTGTTGAACTGCACCCACTGATCTCGCCGTTCGTCGTTTTAGACACCGTTGTTCTTTGCCAAAGATCAGCTGCTCAAGTTTGTCGTGAGCGAAGCGATCGCGGTACCTCTGCTTTCGGCCGTGATATGGATCATAAAGAACGGAGGAGATTACTTTTTCCTGTATCTCTGGATATTTTTAATAGCCGCTACCCTTTTCCTGATGATTCTTTATCCAGAGGTGATAGCACCGCTCTTCGACAAATACACGGCGCTTCCGGATGGAGAATTGAGGAAGAGAATCGAGGAATTGGCGGCCTCGATCCGTTTTCCACTTTATAAGATTTTCATCGTTGAGAACTCGAAGAGATCTTCCCACAGCAATGCTTACCTTTACGGTTTTCACAAGCACAAGAGAATCGTTTTGTTCGACACTCTGGTGAAAGAATATTATAAACCGGCGGAAGATGAAACGGCGACAGCGACGGCGGAAGCGAAGGGCTGTGAAACGGACGAGATACTGGCGGTGTTGGCGCACGAACTGGGACACTGGAAGTACAGGCATACGTTGAAAGGATTTGTCATTAGCCAGGTATGCCTACGCCTTTTTACATGAATATATTACGCGCGCGCGCGTCTGTTACGGCCGCGTGTGTGAGACCTGTTTTTCTAGATTTCCCTGTTGACGAATCTGTTCCTGTACGCGAAACTCGTCGATTACGAACCCATGTTCCGAGCTTTTGGATTCGTCGACAGTCGACCCACGTTCATCGGAGTCATCATCGTGACGATGTACATTTTGATACCTTTCAACGTGGTGAGTGGTTCGATCGACCAGTGGCCTGCCCGGCACGCGTTCGAGCTTCCGCGCCGCGTGAAACTCGACGATCACTGCTACTACTGCTACCGATACTGATCCTCCGTGAAAAGAATGATAACGCGAGTATACTCGAAGTTTTGTGTGGGTGTACGAATGTCTCTTTTTGTTTCAGTTGTTACAATTTGTAACGATCGTGATTGCAAGGAAGTTCGAGTTTCAAGCGGATAGATTTGCCAAGAGCTTGGGACACGGACCGGCGCTGAAGAGTTCGTTGATCAAACTGCAAAAGGATAATCTCGGTTTTCCCATTTTCGACAAACTGTATTCTACTTGGCATCATAGCCACCCTCAGTTCCTCGAAAGACTCGATGCCATCAACAAAGAGGACTGATTCAGAGACAATTATTTTCACTTGTCGATTTCGTTTACGGTTTGTAGTCGCGCGTCGCACTGTGCGCGATACGAATGTGTAATTAATGTGATTTACTACTTACTACTCTTCTTACTTGCTACCGAGTGTAATTTGTAATTGTAAGGACGTAACGCGTAACGCGTTCTAGTGATAATGGTATAGTGATACAATGATTATTTTGGAAAGGCCGCGTGTATCTGATATAGGTTCGTTTAAAAAATGTGAAGAACCATGGTGGTACTTGTTCCATTATCAAAATTAGAAATCGACTTTGTCACGATTTACAGATCCATCCGTGCAGATGACGTCGACCAGTTTTGTTATTGCTCCATCGATGCATGTAGTATAAATATACATACGTAAACATTGCGGACATTGTGTATATTATTTACATATGTAAACTGATC